TATAAACTGCTTGCGGACAATCATGGTGCCAACGCCCGAAAAATAACAACGATACTACCAACGGGATACAGAACATAGGAAAAAGATGGAACTGTTAGAATGGGAAATAGCACATATACATGGGTGCATCCAAATACCTACTGACTCAGTTGTCAGTTGTTTGTTGCCCTTGATCTTTGCGACCATCTGTCATCGACCATTTTCAAAACACCCTTTAGGTTCGTACAAAGTTCAATTTGACCGCTGGGACGTAATGTTTTTCTCACCAGTACCAAGGTTGAACAACATGAGTGGATGTTTTAAATTCTGCATTAGAAACTTGGAACACTGTTGTTGTTAATTTCCGTCGTTGAAGTTCATCGAACGCCTGGATGATGAAAAATGACTTTTTGTTTTATTCTACGGATAAGTAGGTTATGGGCGAAAATTCGACGGTTTCAAATATTTAATAAAACCATGCAGGCACGTTTTCCGCGTTGCATGTAATGACCTGTGGTAGGAATATCAGTGGCGTGCACAAACAAAGTATTTTAACCTAATAAATTTAATTAAAAAAGAAATTGTTTTGAACAATCTTTTCATAACCATATAGCAGGATCTTACTGTCTGCAATCTGTAGTTACTGTTTTGGTTAATCAAGGCAGAATAATATAAAATAGACCATATAGGGAAGCTGTAGGCTTTCACATTATTAGCCACTTTTGTGAGTATGAACGTGATTTACAGTTAACAGGTAAGATATGTTGAAAACGATTAGACGAACCACCGGTGAGCAGGTTTACCTTATTGTGTAAATGATGCGGACATCTGTCGACCGTCTGCATGTGCTTGCTTATGAGTTTGGTTAATATGAGACTCAGGGTACTTGCAATTTTTGAAGCATCTGGATGACATAGCGACTTCTTCCTGTTTATGAAACGAACAAATCAGTGCTGACGCTCAATATTAAGAGCCATAAACATCGTGACAAATCAGAGGAAAGATTCTGCAAGCAAGATGGGTGAAACAGCACAACTAAACACGAACTTTACACACGTCGAATCCTAGGCTCCTGACCGTGATGGTATTATATTATTGTTGTCCAAATCCAGACTGTGTACCAAACGAATCACAGTAAAATAATCTTTATAAAAAAGCGAGCAAGCAAGTTCCATGATTTTTTTGTGAGCGGAATACTACCAGGCAGGTGAATTTTCTTGAGCCTTTGATTAGCCAAAATCCGACCCACGAGTCAGCGGAACAGTGTACGAAAACGCCAGTTCGTTGAAGGCCGTAATGGACTTGAGGTTAGCAACCGTACTGGGGTTTGATTGAGCTGGAATGCACTGCTTGTCTGCATTGAGAATAATAGCTAAAATATAAAGACGTGTGGTTACAGTTCATTCCAGTTTGAAAACACTATACCTTTTTAATAACCAGTTTAGGGTGGGTGTTTCGGGTTACGGCTGGTCACCTTTTACTTTCACCTCGTAAAATACTTCTATACAACCAAGTGTCTCAAATAGCCTCCACTTCGGAGGCCCTACTCAGCACCCTTCTGTAGTGGAGATATTTTCCAACTAAACTGAGACAACAAAATCCCAGCTAAGGGAGCTAGGTAAAGGTTGATAGTGCAGACGTAGTTGGAATGCTCATAACTACACGATGGAGGATGGTGTTTTAATTACCTTCGGACTTGTTCTAGGAAATGATCAATCATGTAAATGGAACCAGGTAATTTGTGTAGAGTATCTTAATGTTTTTAAACTCATCCACAAATGTAAATTCATGAATCAAAAATAATACCACTCACTATCGTTGCATGCAACAGATTTTTACCGTCTGCGTTACCGTTGGCCATTCATGAATTAGACGAAACACATGTGGGCAAGTTCTCATTCCGTGGAAAGGTGACGATCATGGAAGTAAGTGACTGATATTTTCACGTTGTGCTAGTTGGTGGTTCATTCATTTTTTTATTTTTTCTGTGACAGTGAAGCACCAATACTAACCCCATCACATTTCATTTAAATTTTACTCATTTCTTTAATGAAAACGAAGCAGTTTCTCTGGAACAGTGATGAGGTTCAATAGTATTTGTCTAGGTCATCTCAGGGTTTGTGTGATGTTTTGTTACATTGAAGAAATCCTTCTCAAATCAAGGAAAACACAGTTATTAGTTTGTTTCAACCTAGTATAATGGGTTCGCAAGGTGATAATGGAATCGTCGCTGTGAATGAAGAATTCGCCTGGCGGCTTAATGTCAAACACTTCCTCGGATACCGAGCTTTAATTGTATGAGGAAAGTTTTGCGACTTTATATCAAACAAATTATTTTAATCGTCTGCATATTACAGGGAAATATGCTTATATGATGTGCTTGTTCACACTGTGCTGGTGGTTTCTCAGTTCATCGCTAACACGACGCAGCAATTCTTGTTTCTCAATCTTATAAAGCTTTCTCATGTTGTTGTACCCCGATAATCGATTGATTACTCTCTTTCTTGCTTCTTTCAAATTTGATCCATTGCGGTTTCATTTATGCCTACGGAAGTTTCAACATCCGATCGATTCTACAATGAACTCGTGCTAGACCTATTGCGATGTGCTGTTGATTTTTGTATTGTTTTTCAGTTAAATGTTATTTTTTCTACAGTTGTCGACTCCATACTTCACACTTGAGTACTCTCAATGCAGTTCGTGCGTATTGTAGTAATCTATTTTATCTGAGATCATTCGCCTCGACGTTACATTCGGTATTCGATTCAGGTTATTTTCCATTTTCGTATCTCGGTAGATGCTTGAAACCCGTGGAGTGGAAAATTTGCTGACCATCTTGAAAACACAAATCGCTCACAAGAATGCCCTGACCGCGGCCGTCCTATTAGCTTACAATGCTCGACCATCATTTTACACTGCACATGCACCCAAAGTGAAGTACGTCTGAACCGATTGTTTGCTTACTTGTTAAATGCTCATCCGATGTGTCGATATGGTTTCATTACTGATAAGCCTCAACTAAATCAAAGCAGACGGGCAGTGTTTTGGGTTTTCAGCTCACAATTCCTCTGCTCTCGATTTGCAACTAAATGACTTGTACGTTGTAAAATTACTCGTATAATAACTAAATATTCAAAAATGGAAGGGTCAAATGTTTTTTCTTAACCACATTTTACTTTGCATACTAACCAAAAGCTAAGAGGAAGGAGATTCCTCCTTATTTTAGACCCTATAGCATTGCTTTACGGGATAACTTTAGGAATGCGATGAAATAATTGATGATTTCAGTCATACTTTATAGTGATTGTATGCATTCGGGCTATTTGTTTTGTTATCTCATTTTCCAAAGCCTATATTCGAGTTTGTGGATTGTTCGCTTGGTGTTGTCGTCACATTTTAAGGTGACTTCGGTGATGACACCATTTAATGTGGTTCGAGAAACAACAAAAATTAACTCTTAATTTATCTCACTAGTAACTGATTTTCTAATGAATATATAGAGTGACCAGCCAGTGGGTTTTCAGTGAACCTTATTCACGCTAATTGTATATCTACGTATTTAACTTATGAAAGGTTATACAATGGTATCCTGGGGGAATGAAAAAATCACGTTTATGAATCTTAGTGTTTGGTGTTAGTTGTGTCTCGTTTGAGTTGGGAAATGAGCATGTAGTCGATTATGCAGTACATTCAAATAAAGTTTGTCCATAGGCCGGTGAGCAAACAGAAGCGGACACCACGTAAAGAAGGCAGGCAGGCGGGTCAACACTAGTTTACACTTCACACCACANNGTTCAGTTCAGTTCAGTTTGTACAACCATTTACCATGAACTGTCGTGCGCCGGTTTAGATTGCTGCCAATTTGGATTACGTAGTGGAGTACAGTAAGGTTGAAAGTGGAGTCCAATAGAAAATTGAGAACTCCAGTAAACTATGACTGCAAAGAAATTGAGAAGATGCATGAATGCCACTGTTTACGACTTGTTTACCTTAATGAAAATGGCATGTGAGAAAATCACGAATTTATAACAGCAACTGTTTTAATATTGTGGTCGTTCTGAGAGAAGTAGAGTGAATCAAATAAATGTTTTTGACTATCCAACCTCAAACTCCTACACAATTATGTACGTCTAAATGATGTCAAAAAGTCAATATTCATAATGTGACTCAGGTCCTGAAGGCGTTATCAAATCGTAATGTTATCATTGTTCAGATGCTGTCAACTAGTTCTATGTGAATGCCTATCAGTTCACCTGCTGATGTGGAGCTGGTTGCATTCGTCTTAGCAGGGACCGATTGGAAGCATCATCACTCCAGAATCTGGAAACTATCAGCAAAACTCTATCCGAGGAACAGTGCTGGAGATCCTGGCCACTGACCACTTGATGGACGTCGAAAGGCCCTTTTAAGTCATCAATAGGACCCTGATAAATCTATCTAGTTTACAAAATAAACTGAACTACGCCAACTTGAAGGTATTCAGATGTATCACTCCAACCTGTGCAAACTACACCCACATAGCCGAGTCATATTGTGATGGAAGGCAGTTCAAAGAGAGTCCTGGCTAGCGACCGAAGCCCATCCGACCAGACGCACAGACGCAGCGGCGGGAAGTGCCTCGCGAGACAATGTTGATTACCACCCGAAACGAGTGAATCGACAATTACAGCCCGAAAGACAATCCGCAGCTAACGGAAAAGATACCCACCGAATGCCACAACGTCGGAGCTGTCG